CTCCAAACCTCCCTGGGCAGCCCCTTCCAATGCTTAACAACCCTTCCAGGAAGAAATTCCTCCTTATGTCCAACCTAAAGCTTCCCTGACACAGCCTAATCCCAATCCCATGTCCTCTCATGCCTGGGAGCCCCAGAGCTGCTCACCTTAACTCTTCAGAAGATCTTCTGCTCGAGCCTGGAATGTGTCGTGGAGCCCGAGTTTGGGCTGGCAGCATCCAGGACACCTCCTGACCTCCCTCCTCTCCCCTCTCCCCTCTGCAGGTGACCCAGCAGATGGCTGGGATGAACTTCTATGGAGCCAACGGGATGATGGGCTATGGCCAGTCCATGGGAGGAGGGGGAGCCCAGGGCAGCAATCAGTCCCTCAGCTCCCCGATGTGGAAATGAGCCCTCGCGTTGTGACCATTTCTGCCTTCTGTTCTGTTCTTCAAACCTGCTCTCCATGAGACATTCAGGGTTTTTCCTTTTTGGGGCTGCCCAGCCCCGGACCCTTCCACCCCCCCCAGAGCCCCATCTCTGCCTTGTCACTGTCACACAGGGTGACACCTCCTCGGTGAGCAGCCCATGAGCTCCCCCGTCCCCAGCACAGTCAATGCACAGTCAGGGGGGATCCCCCTCCTTGCACAAACCTCCTCTGGGTAGCACTTGATGTCCTGCTGGGCAAAGGTGGGACTGACAGAATCTCTCCTTCGTTCTGCCTGCTGAAGCCAGGCCTTGTCACTTCAAACTCCAGTGTTAGTAGGTTTGGGGTTAGTTAGAGGGGTGGGAAACCTCGTTTGGTGCTGAGGAACTGGATTTCCCCCGAGCCCAGGGGCAAGCAAGCCTTGCTACCTCCTCCCTTGAGCGAGTTCTCAGCTCTCTGCCCCTCATTGGAACCAAAGTCCTTGGGAAGCCCCCCCGTCCCTCCCCCCCTGAGCCAGCAGGATTCTCGCCCGGTGTGGGGGCAAAGCCCATGGAATGTGAAACTTGCACTTCAGAGTGGCTTTTTCTGTCTGATTGTTGGCATTTGATGTATTTAAACTTTTAACAATCTTAACTGAGAGTTAACTTATCCGGGGCTCAGAGCCCGCTGCGAGTTTTCTTACACTTTTAAAAATGACTATGACATCCTAATTTATACTTTTTTCATATATTTTTTTGTTTGTTTTCTTTTTGGTTGTTGTTGTTTTTCCTGTGTAATCCTGGTCCCCTTTTCCTGGCTCGCTTTTTGGACATTTTTGAATCTTAGGCAGGTTTTCTTTTCTCATCTCCAGTAGAACACACAAACTGCTTCAAAGTCATCAGCCCTGAGCAAGAGGTCAGACTGTGGTCTGCTTTCTCCTGTGGATATGTAAATTCCCAAATAAAACATTGCAGTGAAATCTCCCCCTTGGCTCTGTGGGATTTTTAACCAGCAGGTGTTTCGGTGGTGGGGTCAGGGTGAGTTGTTCATTCCAGGTGTGGGGATTTTGGGGGGTTCCAGCCCAAATTCCAAGGCTGTGTCCCAAATGCCAAGGAGCTGAGGGGCTGCCAGCACTCCAAGAACTGGGCTCAGCCAGGCACAGTCAGGTCAGTGGATGCTTTTATATACAAGAATTTGAGGTGGGGGAATTAAATTATTCAGCTTTTACACCCATTTTTCAACAGAACCTGAGCAAGGCTCAGCCAAAAGGTGCATTTTAAGGTTCCACAAAAAGTTAAAAATGATAAAATTAGGGAATAGAATGGGTTTGGGTTGGGAGGGAGCTGAA